ACACAAGAAAGTGTGCGATGGAACTGAAGATATAAAGACTCTGAAAAACCCATACACTGAAACATCGCAGTTAAGAAACACTAACATGGTGTATAAGGCTGTTTATGCAATAGCTCATGCTATTCACAATGCAGTGTGTCAAGAAAAAAATCTCACCACCCAGTGTGATAAAAACATCAGATTGGAGTCCAAACAGGTCAGTTTAAAACAACATTGTGCAACGCAGTGATATTGAAAGTCAGAACTAATTTTGTTGGTATTATTTTATTTTCATTTTTTAGGTGTTATCTCAGCTTAAAAAAGTAAACTTTTCCCGCAATGGTTATCCAGTGTCATTTGATGCTAATGGGGATCCTGTGGCTTTTTATGAGTTGGTCAACTGGCAGAAAAGAGAGAGTGGAGTTATTGAGCTTGTTACAGTTGGATACTATGATGCATCACTGCCAAAAGGACAGGAGTTTCAGATCAACAGGAACATAACATGGATGCATGGTGGAACACAAGTAAAGAATATATCTATCTATAATGTTAACTATTTATACAAACTTTTCTAAAGTGAATCATAAATCTAACCCCACCAACCTCACCCATTTTTAATTTTGTTTGTGTGTGTGTGTGTGATTTGTCGGACAGGTGCCAGTATCCGTGTGCACGGAAAGTTGTCCTCATGGAAACCGTAAAGTGTTACAGAAAGGAAAGCCCATCTGTTGCTATGATTGTATATTGTGCCCTGAAGGAGAGATCAGTAATATAACAGGTACGATGAAATATTGTCATCCATAAATGCAACAATTCATATTTATGTTCTAACAGCTCATTCTGGATCTATTTTTTTATTATAGATTCTCCAAATTGCATCCCATGTCCCAGAGAATTTTGGCCTAATGTAGAGAGAGATACTTGTTTACCCAAACCTGTAGAGTTTCTTTCCTTTGATGAAGTCCTGGCAATCATCCTTGCTACATTATCTGTTATTGGGGCCTGTCTTGCTATTATAACTGCAGGAATATTTTTCTGTCACAGAACAACTCCAATTGTCAGAGCCAACAACTCTGAGCTGAGCTTCCTGCTGCTCTTCTCTCTGACTCTGTGTTTTTTATGTTCATTAACTTTCATCGGAGCTCCCTCTGAGTGGTCCTGCATGCTGCGACACACAGCTTTTGGTATAACCTTTGTTCTCTGTATCTCCTGTGTTCTTGGTAAAACTGTAGTGGTTTTAATGGCCTTCAAAGCTACACTTCCAGGTAGTAATGCCATGAAATGGTTTGGTCCCCCACAACAAAGAATGACTGTTGTATTGCTTACCTTTATTCAAATTGTATTATGTACTGTTTGGTTGTTGCTCAGCCCTCCCTTACCAATAAAAAATCTGACTACATACAAGGAGAAGATCATCCTGGAATGTGCAGTAGGCTCTGCTGTTGGCTTCTGGGCTGTGCTCGGGTACATTGGCCTGCTGGCTGTTTTTTGCTTTGTGTTAGCTGTTCTAGCTCGAAAACTACCTGATAATTTTAATGAAGCCAAGATGATAACCTTCAGCATGCTGATCTTCTGTGCAGTGTGGATCACCTTTGTCCCAGCATACGTCAGCTCTCCTGGAAAATTTACTGTGGCTGTGGAGATATTTGCCATACTGGCCTCCAGTTTTGGACTGATACTGTGTATATTTGCTCCAAAGTGTTTCATCATAATATTTCAGCCTGAGAAAAACACAAAGAAAAGTTTAATGAACAAAACCTAATTGCAAAATGTTGGAGATTTGAAATCAAGATGATTTGATTTTGTTGGCAACAGCTATTTATAATTTGTTATAATTTATATATGTTTCTAAAAACATTGTACCTAACATTTTATTAGATTAAAAGATCAATACTTTTATACCTGTCACTCATTCATGCACATGCTATGTTTCTCATTTAACATTTGGTCACCTATTTGATATTTTTCTTTGTCAAAATGTTTAATATAATAAAGTAATGTTGCAAATGTTAGTGCATATTTTTTTGATTTTGTTTTTTTTGTGCAGACCATGGCATGATAAAGGGAACAATGCAAAGAATGGCCAAATCAAGCAAAACCATTTCTCAAAGGCTTTCAAGATGTTTTGTCTTTCCCAGTAGAAGAGTGCATATGTTTTATATAAATTCCCTGTCTCTTATTAGTGCTTGGGTCACAGAGGCAATAGGTTTAGGAAGGAAACCCAGATTTTTCTTTTCTTTTTGACACACTCTAACTTCCTTTTCTCTGGTGCACTATTACATTTCTTTACAATAACAATGTAGTTCAAGTAAGTGGTGATGGGCATTCGTCCTCTGCTTCACATCCACCTTGATGTCTGGCCATTTTTCTTTATTTCTGCAGGGTTGCTCTGCTCTGACCCCAGATTATATAGCTTTGCACACATTGTCCCATTCCTCTTGGTCTTGGCACTAATGCCAGAGGACACTGTGCCAAACAGAAAGTTTTGATGTGTGTCTACCTCATTTAGACGCATCTCAAACTCACATTCCATGAAGTTTCTCATTTTGCCACATGTAGACATTCATTCATTCAACCTTTATTTAAAAAGGTGAGTCTCACTGAGCCACAAGGACTAATTTACAAGAAAGACCTATTTTAAACAAAGAACACGTATGAGGTACAGACAACAATAAACAGTCATATAAAAAGCAAATAAAATGAAAAGTAAATAAAAGAAATGATACAGAAAATGAAAACAAAAGTAGCTACATTTTAAAGTGATATACAATACTAAAATCAGGAACATGTCTGCATTGGTTTTTGCCATGAATTTAACAGTTGTTTAAAATCCCATAGAGGGGTCAAGGTTGAGAGCTTCAGATATTTTTGCAATGTGTTCCAGGATACAGGAGCAAAGTAAGAGAAGGCCCTATTGCCTAGTTCGGTCTACACTGAGGGTACACTGCACTTGATTATGTCCTGAGGGTTCATGCTGTAGCTGCACTCACAAAGTGACATTAAGGAGGAGATATATGAAGGCAACAGATCAGGATGTCATTTAAAGATGAAAATGTACCAGTATGAGAATCTGCATGAAGTTAATGATGACCAATTGACCAGTGAATAAAGGGTGCAGTGATGGGTACGGTAGTTAAAGCCAGTTATTAATCTTAGTGCATCATGATAGAAAGCGTTCAACATCTACAAGGTGCTTGTAGTAAATGCATGTAAATGTCATCTTAGTCAATGGAGGGAAGGAAAGTAGCAGTTAAAAGGTGTTTCCTAGCATTCAGAGTTTTCTTTCATTCATTCAACTTTTATTTAGACAGATAAATTACATTGAGCCTTGAAGACTCATTTACAAGTGAGATCTGCTTAGGCAGACAAAAAGTAGTGAAACTGGAACACGTAGGAATTGGAGGCAAAAAAAATCCTATTAAACTTATTCTTCTTGACTGAGAAGAAAAACTCTAATATTAAAAAAAACACCTTGCACATACAAGCACATAGTAACGTAGACATTCCGCAGAAGGGGGGTGGGGTGGGGGGGGGGACAACGAGACCTGTGAGCAATGTTCAATGATGCACTCGAGAACACTGTAAGAGTTCTGATAAGGATTAAATAATTAACCACTTCCCTCTGGTGAGATCCGTAAACATTCTCAAGTGATGTCGGGGAATGGCCAAGGACAACGCCTCCTCGATGGGAGGGGATGGGGGGCAGAGTGTCAGATTACATGTTCTCCCGGCAAATTCAGATAAGATGGCCTTCAAGGCCAGCCAGGGGAGCCAAATTCAGATAGACAAGCAGTTGTTTAGGGGACAGGCAGAACTTAATGATGTCTACCTTGTGCGTGGTCCACTCAGGTTCCAAAATGTTCAAATTATGTGGCCACACCAAAAGAACGTGCCTGAGTAAAATCCCCGAGATCTGATCCATTATGCCAAAAGCATTTGAGTCTGGGTACTTGAGACACAAACCAAGCCATCATAAGGCAAGCAGCATGATCAGGTCCAAATTTGCTGCCGACGAAGTCCTTGTTTGTAGATAAACCAGGACCAGCCGAATCCAAAAAGCAGGAACCAGTTATCATAAATCCAATTATAAATGTGTCCTTACATTCCACAAATGGCAGCAGAGATAGACACATCATCAAGTCTTCCAAGTCAATGAGATATCCAGCGGCGTGCATGCCAACAGGGCAAATCGGCTCGCCAAATCCTGTCTTCTCTTCGAACAAATGTTATCAATTATGTTGAGGGACCGACTGATCAAATCAAGTCCATAATTATGCTTCGGAAGATATGTAGAGAGAGGCTCAAAAGCTATTTCACAGACAGACAGAGCAGCAAAGCAAAGCAGAGAGGGAGGGGAAAAATCCTCCGACCTTGGCAAAAGCAAGTGGTTAGATAGAAAGGATCTATTTCTAAAAAAGAAACCCAATTTTAATTTCAATTTTTTTTTTCCAAGTTTTTGTCATGAGGATTAAAAGAGAGATGTGAATCGACCAAGATATCTAAGTATTTATAAGAACTGACTAACTCAATAGGGACACCATTCAAAGATAAAATAGAAGAAAGGACTGCTGGGACTGACTTCCTGTTTGAAAACAACATCCCTTTGGTTTTTATTCTGCATTATTTTTAGATAAGATGTTTCTAATTTTAGCAATATTACACAGGTGGATGAAGGTGGTTCTAGTAACATTTTTAATATGGGGGTTTAAAAAGCATGTCCTGATCAAAAATAACATCAAGCTTTTTAACATTAGAACTCGAGGCCAGATTAATGCCATCCAAGGAGGGCAAAAGACGGCAAATTTTATGCCTAAGATGCTCAGGTCCAAAAACCAAAACCTCAGTCTTGTCTGAGTTTAAAAGCAGAAAATCAAGGGTCATTCAGGTTTTTATGTATTTAAGACATGCTTGTAATCTAAGTAATTGATTGGATTAATTAGATTTTATGGACAAATATAACTGTTTATCATCAGCATAACAATGAAAATGTATCCGACGGTGTTTAATAACTTTACCTAATGGAAGCATATATATAAGGTAAAGAGTATTGGTGCAAGCACTTAACCCTGAGGATCTCCATGACTATCTTTGGTGTATGAAGAAGATTCATTATTTGCATTTACAAATTGGACTATATCAGATACAATAAATGATTTAAAACATTTTAGATCAGTTTCTGTAATCACAGTCGGTGAGCGACACAATATTTCTATTAGAAATTTTGAAAGCGCTCAAAATTATCTGTATTACCTGTGGCTCAGTCAAGGAGTGCAGTAACATCTCCACCATCATTAAAACCTGTTGCGGGTCCATTTCTGGTGCTCAGGTTTGTTTACGTTCATCCCGGAAGTAAACCAGAAGTAGAACTTCTTCTTTTGTGTTTTTTTTTAGGAGAGTTTACCACTCTGCACATGTCAGTACTTCTGCTCAAAGCAAAGCCTGCTGCATGTAAACGCTAGTCATGAACAGATTGTGCCCATGTAAATGATACATTTGAATTATTTAATCTGAAAACATTTCAATCAAAAAAATGTGTGCATGTAAACATAGCTACTGACGTATAACAGGACCAGTGTAGACATAAGTCCATTGTCAGATGCCATGAAGATATCATTAGTAAGTTTCACCAGTGCTGTTTTTGTGCTATGATGAGATCTTCACCCTGACTGAAACATCTCAAACAGATTATTTCTTTGCAGATGTTCACGCAACTGACCGGCAACTATTTCTTCTAGAAGTTTTGAGATGAAAGTTTGATTAGGTATAGGTTATGATATGTTGTTTGTTTGTCATATGCAGGTTAACACAGGGTCAACAGTGCAATGGCATATTTAGGATGAGAAGAACCACTTTGACTTGCTATAAATCAAAGAACAAAGAAGCAAGAAATACCAAAGCATGCAATAAGGGTACAAAATAAAGTACCCAACAGGGAAAAAGAAATATATTATTTACAATATTTAGGCCTATAATTGGCCAGGATTCCTGAGTAAAGATTATGTTTCTTAAGTAAAGGTTTAACTACAGTGATCTTAAAGCCCTGTGGTACATAACCATTAATTAGAGCTAAGCAGATCCAAAATGTGGATATTGTAACGTCCATCCTTCCAAGAACCTTAAGACAAATGTCCTCAGAGACACTACGTCTTGCCCCTTTCCCACTGTTACGGTGCAGATCAGGTAAGTTCGGGTCAGCTCAGATCGGCTCATGTGTGGTTGCGTTTCCATTTACACTTGTGGACTGGCTCTGTAGGCAGGGACCAGAATCCAACTCGTCTTACCACCTGGTGGCGGTAGTACTCCCTTAAGCTATTTACTAGCCACCACTAAACGTATTAGAAAAGCTTTGCAGAGAGTGGTGAAGGCTGCACAGAAGACTGTTGGTGTCAGCCTCCCCACCATCACAGACATCTACACCTCCAGATGCAGGAAGAGGGCTACCTGCATCATGAAGGACCTCACTCACCCAGCAGACACACTTTTTGCCCATGCTCATCTGCTCACACAGACTCATGTTCATGTTTGTGCTGATGTTCAATGTTTTTATGTTATGAGTGCTTAGTGTATATTTAGTTGATGTTTTTCTTAGTTCATATCTTAGATCTTATTACTGTTTTTCTTATACATTTTATTGTTGGATGTAACTGGGACCCTGTGTACATAATTTGGCTCCACCACATGTACCACATGAGGTGCGAATGACAATAAAGAAACTCTGACTCTGACTCTGATAAATAAATTCATGAATCTGAGATAAACATACAAAAATTTTAATGTTAAGAGCTAGACTTTAGTCCAAATTGAATCAAAACTCCTTCTCAAGTCCTCAGATTTATGCCATTTACTTTCTAAAATAATATTATTGGTTGTTCATTCATATTCAATATTTGCCATAATTTTCATGTCATAATTCAAATTGAAAATAAACATTACAGAATTGTATTTAAATTACGGATTCTTCGTGTTTTCTTTGAGGGACAGGAATTAAATTTGCTACAAGAACTCATGGTTTATATATGTTTGAGGTCAGGCCAGTCCAGAGTACGTGATTGTAAATGTAAATTTTGTTGTTGCTGTTGTCCACTGTTGTCATCATTCTTTGTTGAAATCAGGTCTCTCTTGTAAATGAGTCGTCGAGGCTCAATGGGATTAACTTGTCTAAATAAAGGTTGAATGAAAAAAAAAACAGTTAATGGGTAGGAGTTTGACCGGACCAGAAGTCCAATATCCTATACATATATTCCCCTACAATATTATTAAGGGAAATACCTCTTTATATAGTCTGTTTGGGATGGGATATAGCAGACATGTGGATGGTTTGTATGAAGCTGTTACTTTTGACAATTCGGAGAGCTCAACATGACAAAAACAGTCCAAACACAAATCAGGTTCTAGTAACAAAGTTACCTCAGCTGACAGGGAACCGAGGCGATAGTTTGAATTTTCTCCCTAAATGAAATAATTTTAGTTATAATCTCAGGAACTCATCACTGAGTATAGTTGAAGGGATACATGGTTCAACATAGATAGGATTTTTCATTAGACAAGCTATGGTACTGAAAAGGAACCTGGGGTTATTATCTGGGGGTATTAATTTACGCAACGATTATGTGAAAAATGACCAAGTACTAAAATTAAAATGTGGACAATGTATGAAGACAAAATACTGATATAACATAATTGTTCTATTTAAAAAACATTATTGTATTTTAGTCACAAATGCCAACATTTCAGAGAAGAAAATACTGTTGCATATTACATTACAAACATTGATTTATTCTGTTAGAATTAATTTTTGTTCATTAAGTATTTCTTGGAGTTTTTTTCTGGCTGAAGCATTATGATGAAACACTTTGGAGCAAAAATACACAGTATCAGTCCAAAACTGGAGGCCAGGATGGCAAATATCTCCACAGCCACAGTAAACTTCCCAGGAGAGCTGAAATATGCTGGGATGAAGGTGATCCATACTGAGCAGAAGATCAGCATGCTGAAGGTTATCATTTTGGCTTCATTAAAATTATCAGGTAGTTTTCGAGCTAGAACAGCTAACACAAAGCAAAAAACAGCCAGCAGGCCAATGTACCCGAGCACAGCCCAGAAACCAACAGCAGAGCCTAATGCACATTCCAGGATAATCTTCTCCTTGTATGTAGTCAGATTTTTTACTGGAAAAGGCGGACTGAGAACCAGCCAAACAGTACAAATTAAAACCTGAATCAACGTGAGCAATATCACAGTCATTCTCTGTTGTGGAGGCCCAAACCATTTCATGAAATTACCACCTGGATATGTAGCTTTGAAAGCCATTAAAACCACTGCAGTTTTCCCAAGTACACACGAGATACAGAGAACAAAGGTGATACCAAAAGCTGTGTGTCGCAGCATGCAGGACCACTCAGAGGGAGCTCCAATGAAAGTTAATGAACATAAAAAACACAGAGTCAGAGAGAAGAGCAGCAGGAAGCTCAGCTCAGAGTTGTTGGCTCTGACAACTGGAGTTGTTCTGTGATGAAAAAAAATAACTGCTGTTATGACGGCCAGACAGGCTCCAAAACCAGAGAATGCAACTAAGATAGCTGCCAGGACTTCATCAAAGGACAGAAACTCAACAGGTTTAGGGAAACAAGTATCTTTTTCTGCGTTAGGCCAGAATTCTCCTGGACATGGGAAGCAATCTGTAGAATCTGAAAAAAAAAAAAAAATGTCATGATGGCTTTTAGCACACAAATATTTCAAAATGCAAAAACGGATGAAAAGCAGTTTATTCTACCTGTCATATTACTGATCTCTCCTTCAGGACATGGTATACAATCATAACAGCATATGGGTTTTCCTTTCTGCAACACTTTACGAGTTCCTTGAGGACAAATTTCAGTGCACACTGACATTGGTACCTGTGACACACATGCAAACAAAATAAAACCTTACATTTTCTTGTTTTATTTGTTTTTTCATGACTATTCTTTTAATTAAGCTTTTTTTTGCATTAATTACTCTCCTTACTTTTGTTCCACCCTCCACCCAGGTTATGTTCCTGTTAATATGGAGCTCCTGTCCTTTTGGCAGTGATGCATCATAGTATCCTACTGTTACCAGCTCAATATCTCCACTCTCACTCTTCTGCCAGTTGACCAGCTCATAAAAAGCAACAGGATCTCCATTTGCATCAAATGACACAGGATAACCATTTTGAGAAAAGTTTACTAGTTTTAGTTTTGATAGCACCTAAAAATAACAGAACAAAAATGTCATTAAAGTTAATGTTTACATTAAATGTCACTGTAGAAGTGTTCACAAGAAACTTTTGGATTTACTTTTTCCTTTTTTTACATACCTGTTTAGACTCCAAATGACTGTTTTTATTGCACTGAGTCCTGAAATTTGTTTCCTTACACACTGCATTGTGAATGGCATGAGCCACTGCATAAACAGCCTTGTACACCATGTTAGTGACTCTTAACTGAGATGTTTCAGTGTACGGGTTTTTGAGCGTTTTTATGTCTTCTGTTCCATCACACATTTTCTTGTGTGGCTCACCATCTAAAGACACGTGGTCAGAATGTTTTGTCAAATATCCCTAATTTTATGTACACTGAGCTGAAGGTAAATAAATAGACATTGTACTGGTGACAATACAACTTTAAATTCATGAGAACCCAACCTAAATCTTCAAGAATATTTTAAGCAATACAGTAAAAGACCAAGTTGTCTTTGTTCAATTAAGAATACATTTTTGGCTGTGAAATGTCTAAGCCCACAGAGATGCTTAATGATAAAAAGAGCAAAAACAACAAAATGCTTCTTATGGAAATTCTGAAAATATTAACATACAAATCTTCTGACTTTTTGTCAGTGTGCAGTTGAATGCCTCTTCCCAGAACTCTGTAAGCACTAAAGAGGCTGCTACGTCGTTTGGAGAGAGCTCCAGCAGGAAGTCTCTCAGCCCTGGGATGACAGACTGTTGAATGCCAACTCCAATGGCTCCCGCACAGAAACTGAAGCTCATCAAATTTGGGTCAGTGATCCAGACTTCACTTCCGATCCACTGACGAGGTGGTGGAGGCTCCAGAATCAATTCCTCTAACAGAACCCTCATTTCTGCAGAGGCTATAAAAGCCACAACAACCAGTGCAGTTGACCTAGAGAGGAAATAAAAAGTGTTGACCTATATTATAGCAATATAGTGGCCTAGACAAAATCCAAGATTCAAATTATTATTATTTTTTGCTTGAAACATGTAAATCTGTATCTTGGGATTGTTCATATGTGTGAATGGGCAAAAAGCCAAGGCCATAAACAACATTTTTTTCATATGTGTCACTTTGGTGTAATTTATTTGACCTTTTATGCTTATTGTCAAAAATACCACACAGACATATTGAAAAATAAAATAGTTTTCATTTTATGGGTCAACTTTATTTTATTCTGCATAAATTCCAAGAAGCAAACAATTTCAATCAGATGAGATTACAAACCTGCGGATAACATCAGCTACTCTTTGGATCTTTCGATGCGTGTCGGTCCAAGAAAATGCTTCAGAGTACTCCACACAGATCCCCTCTTTCTGAGCTGCATTGAGAAAAGACGCCATGCCATAATTTCCATAATCTGAATTCGAACGAACAGCACCTATCCAAGTCCAGCCAAAATGTTTCACCAGCTTGACCAGAGCATCAGCTTGAAACTGATCACTGGGAATTGTTCTGAAAAAACTTGGGTGCTGCTGCTTATCTGACAGGCAGGCACATGTGGCAAAGTAGCTCACCTAATAAAGAAATAAATTTATAAAAATAAATCTTAAAAAGGACAAATAAAGAAGTAGATTTTAAAAGTTGTTTTTTTTAAATCCAGTGTACTTACTAGAGGAATGTTGAAAGACCCAATGATGCGTGATATGCTGATAGACGGTGTGGATGGTGAGTCTCCAACAGCTGCCATCACTACACCAGATTGGGAACAATTTCTGTCTTTGTAAAACACAGGGTCTTGACCGTTTGAGAGCTGAAATGCCACATCCACAGCCATGGGCACTGAAGCACATGAGTCAAATATCTGATATCCAAGTGTGATGCCTGGCAGCAGCTCTGTGCTGTTATTTATCTCCTCGATGGCAAAAATCATTGTGCGAGAAAAACGTAGTTCTCGGGTTATTAGGCTGCATAGAATCAAAAAAATCAGTGCTGCCCTTTTCATGAACTAAAAATAAAAAAACAACATAAAACTACAACACTAACAAATGCCTAAAACAAATTTATTGTTCTGTTAGGCAATAGGCAAGTACATCCAGTAGTCAACTAACAGATTAAATGAAAACATGAAGCAATACTTTATAAATAACATTCATTCTTTAAATATATCTAAAGCTTTGCATTAATTTTCCTTACAATGTTCACAAAATCTTAGGTAAACCTAATATTTGGTTTGATTAATTATACATTATGAAAATGTACTAAGACGACTTTTGCTAACCATGGAAATACATGTTTATACATGTTTATATTTTAACATGCAGCAAAGTTAGCAGTTCATTAACATCCCTTTTCTCCACTTTCTACTGTTACTCACCTTCCTCCACATCTTGAGGGTTCGGGTTTGGTGGTGTAGTTATGAATCACTATGTGCATTTGGTAGTGAATGGAGAAAACACCTCCGATAACAAAGTCTCCATTCATTGAAAATGCAGGTAAACGAGGGGAACTCTGCTGGGCACATTTCGTTGAGGAAGCCTGAGTACTGGCACCTGCAGTAGGCAGAGCTTCTGCAGGCTTAATGTTTTGTTTCAAACCATCTAGAGAAAAACACAAGACAACAATTGTCATTAGCTCCAGAAATGTCACCGGTACTCTCAGACCAGCAAAGATAGATCTGACCTCCATTCTTCAATAGTCTGTAGTTGGGTGTTAGGTGTGTTTTTATTAGTTCATGTACCTCCTCTAATAAATACCATGTGATAATTCATCAGAACCATTATCATTAGAAAGTGGGTTTGGATATTTTTTTTTTCCATGAATCTTCATGGACATTTTTTCCACAACATATATTGTTGTAAAATGTTTCTAAAAAGATCTATACATTTTTTTAAATGTTCTTTCTTTCTTTTCTTTTTCTTTTTTTTTTTAACTGAAGAGCTTTACACAGGCACATGTTGTTTTTATTTTTGACTTTTAGGGCAAATCATGAATTTGTTTTGAATAAATGAAATTTTCCAAATGTCTAATGTGGTAATTTAAATTGGTTCTGAGCTCATCAAATTTATCTGAGCCCAGATTTACATAAGATGAACTGTGACTGTATTTTCATAGAATATGACTGTTTTGTTGGATTTTAAATGTGTCTGTAATTTGTTTATTTGTGTATTATTTTGTATATGTATATATATATATATATATATATATATATATATATATATATAGATAGATAGATAGATAGATAGATAGATAGATAGATAGATAGATA